AGCACCCATTATGTGTAGTCATAGATAGTAGAATTAAAAGTGTCATTTAGAACAATGTATGTATATACATATAGCGGCTGTATGGACTTAATTCCTTATAGGGCAGGTATAGTTAAGTATCAGCTTTATACACTTCAAGCTTCGCTTCGCCCGCGTGGACTTTGTGTAAAACCTAACAGTATAAATGGCGCCATCTATTAACCAAATATTGACTTATTAGGTTTTTTCCTTTAGATAAGGTATTTTGACGCTGTAAAACAAATAGAATATGACCTAGAATAGCCTATGTGTTATTCTAGATCATATTCTATTTGTGAACTAAATCTTATTCAAATCTGTCATGGAGTTTTAGTGTGAAGAATAACAAACATACACACAGACACACACACACACGCAAACTTTCGTATTTTTTACAATATTAGTGAGATTAGTTTGTAACTAAATAAAATATAACGTTTCCGCAGCGCGCGCTAACGGTTTGTGTATGGTATTTTTATACTCATGATAACTTCGAAGTTAAATGTTCAAAATTAAATAATATCTGCTTAACGAATTGACCAATTCTAATGATGTCAAGACAAAAAAATATCTACTTAAAATTATCTCGATGATGAAATACTTTAATTTATAAGGATTAATATAATCACACGAAAAAATGCATCTAAAGTATGTAGAGGATATTTAATATTTAAAAAAAATATGAAAACGCTTTTTTTTAACACCCAGACTCAGAACAACAATTTGTGGAACACACAAAGTGTCGTCCCATGTGGGGATCGGACCCACAACACAGCGTAGTAGTAAGCGTCGTGGCAACCGCTTAAATCTCTACGCCATCCTTAAATGGCCTAGGCATATGATAAAACTAACCCCCGTATATTTGTTTCATCATTTTAATAATTGAATTGGCAACACCATGCAATACTCGTATAATGAGTGGTTTTGAGAGAATCGTTAAATGTTATGAAGGTTTCATATCACTAACATAAGAAAAGCTCAGATTAGCACAAACGATCTTCTTGATAGGGAAGTACTGTGGAGCTCTACTCATATTGTGAGCGGAGATTCAACTATGGCCCACTTCTCTTAATTTGCAGTATTGTTTGTAAAAATAAACTCCTGGTATTTTGAACTGTATTATATTTTGAAAACAAAGACGAATTACTAACTCTGGTATGTGTCATCCTATTATTGTTGCAAAAGTCGTTTGTAAATAAAAACGAAACTTCGGTTGTATAGACGAGGCAGCTTACGAGAGATTCTTGTTCAACATCTTCTTACCCTTTTCAGGAATTTATTTGGGGTCAGATCACTGCTTACTCCTTTTCTAGTCATATTCTCTATCACGCAGTTCTTCATTACTTTGCAGAACAGTTTTGGCTTTTTTCTTTTATGGCCGGCTGCCTGTACTAAACCGCCTTGGGAATGTAATTGTTCTTTTTACATGGAATGAAATGCTTTTAATCATGTGCTCAAGTCAAGTTAGAAGTAAAATTTGTAATAATAGAATGTAACGGTAGTCCTCATTAACAAAGGGCATTCTGTGGAAAAAACTAAAGAAATTAATCTTGAGATATTTTTGTTTTGTTCCGTTCTTATACAATAACAATATTTTTTAAATGAATGAGAATTCATTTAGTTAAAAAAATCAGTTAACTTCTTGAGATAAAATATATTTACAATAACAAATATATTTACGAATTATTGAGAATACGAATATAAAGAACATTAAAAATCTAAAAAAGTAAAGAGATATTGTCTGAGTTTATCTTAACAATAGGCATTATTCGGATTATACAAATTGTAAGATGAGCGGTGTTATTTCCTTCACGCACCCTCTATTAATTTGGCGTTTGTTTTTAATTATGGAATTTGTACAGGCGATACTTTTGGCATGATTGCATACTATTGACCGTGAATTGTGTCTATTTACTATTTGTTGGAGATTTTGCGTCTTACGTCATCTTTGCCTAAAATATTATCTAGATTAATATATTCTTCCAAGAACTTCTTTATGGTCTGGTGAATGATCTAAGTGGAAGAAGGCATTTTGCCTAGCATCGTGACCATGGGTAGCAATAATTCAGCTTAAAGCAGGCTGTGCGTAGGTATAAACGAACGGTTACGGAATACATAACTGTGGGAAATCTTGTTTGAAAAATCTGCAAATCATATCAATCCCGTTAAAAAGATTATTAATATTAATTTGATTTCTGAAATACTCGTTACACGGAACATTTGATTTTGAAAAAATTACTGGTCAAGTGCGAGTCGAACTCGAGGGTTCCGTACCTACCCAAATTTTACGTAAATTTTCGCGAGAACTTGTAAGTACCAAAATTTGCACTTACTATTTATTTATTTTATTGAAATTTGGAACTACCGTATAGGTTTTCGACCCAAAACCTATTGGATACTTCTGGTTGACCTAGAATTAACAATTTTGGTTAAAAGCAAGGCTCAAGCTCAAGTAACTGGAAAATTCCGAAAAATAAAAAAATGTTAAAAATTAAAGTAAATTTTGGTAGTTACAAGTTTGTACGTGTTGACTCAGGACCTTGATTTTTATACACATAATAGGGACTATAGACGTAAATATCTGGTATAAATTTCAACTTGCTAGGTCCCCCGTTACTGAGAAAATCGGGTGTGACACACGGACAAACTGACGGACCAGAGATTGATCTTATAAGGGTTCCTTTTTTACCTTTTGAGGTACGGAACCCTAAAAATAAGTAACTTTACTCCGTTAGTTAAATCTGTAAAAAGTATAGATAAAACGTGTTTGGACACGTAGATTTCGAATTAGTTTTGAAAATAAAAATACTAATAACACCCATAAAATACAGTTTTTAATGCTTCATTAAATAAATTATAATTAAACAACATCCCATTGTACCTATTTATTGACCTATTTCTTAGCGTTCCATATTTGATACGAGCCTAGCAATTGCGCTTTCGATATTCGTTCAAGAAAAGAGCTTACTGAAGCTCTTGGCAATCCAAGGTCTTTCAGCAGATTATAGAGGGGTTTAGCTGGTATACCCCTCACACCCGCTTCCACAGCATACAACGCAACGAAATAACAATTTTTAGTTATTTCGTTGGAGGAGGGAGGGATGAGGAAAATGTGGCGAAGAAAGTTTTAGGTATGAGAGTTGAAGGGTACAAGAGTAGAGGCAGACCGAAGAAGAGGTGGATGGACTGCGTCAGGGAGGATATGGCTAGGAAGGGAGTAAACAGTGAGATGACGCATGACAGAGTAGAATGGAAAAATCATACATCCTGCGCCGACCCCAAATAAAATTGGGAAAAGGGTAGGCAGATGATGACGTTGGTTAAGTCAAAGTAATTGTACAAAGATATCCTCCAGTATTCTGTAATGATTTTCATACGTGTCCACTAATAATGTCCAGTCACTGGCGGTGCCAGTATTTATAATTGACTACGGCTTTTGTGAAGTCTTTCTTCCTTGAGCGTTCCTTTACAAACTCGATGTTAGTTTTTATGTTTTTTGTTATTCCTTTTTTCGCTCTCACCAGTGATAAACTTGTAGCTTCGCCTATGATTTTTAATACCCTATCATGGCGACGGATGGGTGTAATAGTGGCTTACAACCTGTCAGTAAGTGTCTGGCTATACCTAAGTGTCTGCCGCACTGCTCATCGTACAAGCATTTACTGTAGCTTTTCCCCACCTCAGTAGGTTGCTTTGATCAGGGAGAGTTCATTGAAAGGCGTTGAGGTAAAATTTTAATAGGGCAGGTGACCAATCGCATAAGTATCGTATAAATGTACGCCATTTCAAAGCTGATGGGATACAAAAATTCTCCTAGAGTTAACCATTCATTCTGCATTTCTATGTTAATTGCGTGCAAATTGTAGGTCTCGTTTTCATCTTGTTGTAAGAAAGATTATGTTAGAAAAGATGTTGTAAGTGTATCTAATAAATAACGTGGTTATATTGCTTACATTCTAAATTGAAAAATCCATACAAATAGTAGCTAATCTTATTAATAGTCCTACACAAAAAAAGTGTTACACACCTGAATGATAAAATAATTCTCCTTTTTTTGTTATCCATCCAATTACCCACAGAACATCTCGTATGCACTTACAATCCCCTAACTAGATGGTTGCTAAAATACTTTGGGGAAGATTGCTTTAAAAAGTTTTAACTATTCTAATATGACCAGACTGGCTGTATGCTAAAGTCGAAGTTCTGCATCCACCACAATACCTGATAGTTAATAAAATAAAAATAGATCAGCCGTATTAAAGCTATTTAGGTCACATCCGAAGTCCGGCGTTTATTTATTTGGATAAAGTTGTGTGCATGAGGTGTTTATTTGTAATTTTGTCTCTGTAATTTTCTCAATTCGGTTATTAGAATGGAACTTTAAATGCCCTTTGAAATTTTCATTTCCTTTGTTCGAAACTTTTTAAGGATATTTTTAGTGCTATTCTTAACAAAGGCTTACAACGATTAAAATTAATGTTTGGAATTAAATCATTACTGTCCACCCCCCGGAGAAGGCACGGCACTGCAATTTCCTTTGTCTACACCGTCCGACCACTAAAAGCCTTCGCACTACTAGAAACAGCAGAAACCTTAGCAGATTATTATCCTCATAAACTTATGTGTGTAATTCCGGATAGTACTATTTTTTGCTCGTAAATTAGTAGTAGGCAATAGACAAAATAGAGAATCTTGGCATAATACTGATACACGAGCGATCGCTACGTGGTCCTTCATTCATTATGTTTTTGTTCTTTGTGCCAAAGCTGATTTATGAACTAGACAAAGGTAAATGCATATTTTTGTACAAACATCACCGTACTATAGTAGACTAACAAAAGGAAACTGAAAGCGCATCATTGACAGAAAATCGCGTAAATTGTACATGTTATTGATAAGGGCTTACACACGTTTGTTGTTGTTGACAGGCTATCATTGCGCGCGCAATGAGTGAGGTGTGGTGCTGGTAGCGGGAGGCGGTGATGCAGCGTGGCCACGCGGGCGGCGCCCCGCACTCGCAGGCTTCCGCCCCCGCACAGCCGCACTACCGCTCGCACTACGCCGACATCGATGATCAGGTTTGTTTATTTATACGAACAATTATATACTATAACAGGTTCATAATTTGTTGTTGCTTTATATGTAGGTATGGATTGTTTGTGCGTCTATCTCGTATTGTCATGGGTCCAGAACCGTTACACGCATTTTAAAATTCATTCTTAATAGTGTAATTTTGAGTTGACTAAAATAACTCCAAAAATTTAAGTTGCCATTCTTAAGAACTACTTAGTGTTGTTTCTTTAAAATTAATTTGAAAATAATTAAAATAAATCGTTCTAAAGGAGAGGGCTATTCGAGAAATTTACAACTTCATGAGCATGACTCATAGACTGAAAATTAAATAAACAATGATAATGGCATGTTAGTATATTTATGAGCACTTGATTACTATTTTCACTGAGAATTGTAAAACTATTATGGTGCTTTAAAACAGTTGTCGTGAGTTTGGTTGACAAGACTCAATTATAAATATATGGTAACGTTGATTTTAGATCGACAAGAGAGTTAGATCTCAACTGCAACTGCAATACGCGATATAATTTGTAGAGTATTGTTATAATACTTTTACCGATTTTTAATGAACTCTTTGAAATATTATTTGACTTTGACTTGTTCGAATTGTTCGAATACAATTAATTAGGAAATGTTTTGCGAATCATTCATAGTTTGTTATGCAATATGTCTTCTACGAATATATTATATTTTACATATATATAGATTCAATAAATTGAATGACTATTATGGTACATAGGAAGGAAGTTCAAGAATAAACCGATCTCTCTTTAAAAGTTGACAAATAAAATGAAAATGTGGACTTAGGTTAATTATAATAGATAAACTATCACCTATTTAAATTTTGTTTGCTTTTAATAAACTCACAATGTCATATAATATTAGCATATTATTAAGTATTATATCTGTAAAACATAAAATTCCAAGGAAATTATCTTGTATGATAAATGCAATTAATAACATAAATAGATCATACAAGGAAAATAGTTAAACAATATGACGTTTTTGTGTTTAGGTTTCGTGACTGCAAATGTACTTATAGCAAACATGTTATGATAACAAAAGGTAATGAATGACCAGTGCTGTTTGACCTACCCATCATTACGAGTATTATCGCTCTAACGTATTTAATACATGATTCCTATTTGCTGTACAAAACATGCGAAATGTTACAATTTGACAAACAGATGACCCTCTTTGCTAAATTTAAACATTTTATTTGTTATTTCTATCATCTACCTTTTTGAGTAAAAATTACTCAATTCGGAGTACTCCTGATGAATTACTAAAGAATTTAACAGTAAAAGGCAAAAAAAAAATACAACGAGTTACCTACGTTTTAGACCTATGGGAAAAATATGTGTTCTAAGATTAATACTATTCATGCATATTTGATGTGAGTTTTCAAATTACATAGTTTCCTTGGATTTTTGATAGAAAAACGTCTAACACCTAAAACAATTAAAGAACTGTTAAATCGTTGGTACGTCAGAACGTTAAAAAAATCATTGACAGAAAATATTATGTAAATAAATTATAACATAAAAATATGGTATACACTTAAATAAGTACGATAAATATAGTAATTATTCTCATAGTTTGTAACTATTACGAGAAATAAATAATATCATCATCAACAGCCTTTACTAGTCCACTGCTGGACATAGGCCTCTCCTTAGAAAAGAGATTTTGGCCTAGGTACTTTGTTACTTGGTCGAGTTTTACTAATTTACCAATATTTGACTGCCTCGTTAGTGCAGCGCATACGACTGCTGTGCTGAGGTCTCGGGTTCGATTCCCGGGTCGGACCAAATGTTTGTATGATCTGCAAATATTTGTTTCGGAGTTTGGGTGTTTTCTATGTATAATATGAGTGTATTTAAAAAAAAAAGTATGAAAGTATTCTATCAGTCAATCTAGTTTCTCATAGTACAAGCTCTGCTTAGTTTGAAACTAAATGGCGTTGTGTGTCAGATGTCAGAAATAATTTTATTATTATTATTATTGTTGTTAGTCGATACCTAAATGTCACAAATAGATCAGAAGAAAGAAAATAAAGCGGTAATTAATTAGAAAATACTAACTTAAAAAACAATGTGTGTAACATAAAAGAAGGTATAAAAACTTTAAAATGTTAATTACATCTTTATTAAAACTAGTCGTATGTTGTATCTATTTCGAGTTGTATAATTGAGGAAAATGTTATCCCGCAATTCTTAGGAAACATGAGTAATTGCGAATTTTTGTAAGTGTTATGTTATTAATTCGCAGTAATTTCTTTTAGATACCTGCATCAGTCATCAGTAGCGTGGGGACAGTGAGCCTGTCTCAATCATCTACTAATCCTACACCCAACATAACCATGGCTAATCCAACAAACCCTGGTACCGCAAGCAGCGGTAACGTCCAGCCGCCGCCTCAGCAGACTCCTACTCAGGCTCCCGTGCGCACCTTACCCAAAAAGCGCAAATTTGATCCTTCCGTACTAGAAGAAATACAACAAAGTTGCCCCAACAACAATACAGTCAATGCACCGTTGCCGATGGAATATCAGCTCCCAACCTACCAACCGCCTGTGTTGCAACCTTCGCCTATAGTGCAGCATCAGTCTCCATTATCAGAACTGAAGAATTATTCTATCTCATACCCAAATATTGATCTCTCTGAATGGCGGGACCACAGAGTATTGGCGAAACAACGCGGCGTGTACCTGCCAGGAGTTATTCGACAGGGAGAAGGTTGTAAAGTGTTAGTGGAATTCGATGGACTCGAAAATGAGTCTGTAGAATACAGTGATGTGTTCGATGGAAACAAGAATGACGTGATAAGTGACGCGAGTCCCCAAATGAGCCATCTGGTCATGGGATCGCCTTGTGTAGTGAGGACTACGGACCAAAGCCGGGAGAATGTGCAAAATGTTTTTGTTGAAGGAATCGTGTATGAGGTGCTTAATTCCCCAATTAGAATACGAGTTAAGGTAAGTTTTTTAAAGTGATCATATTTCATTTGTCAATACTCTCTTATACAATATAAAAATACTTTATCTATGCTGCTCAATTTTATAATTTAAATTGCAGGTCGGGTTGGAACATGATATGATGACTTAAGATCAGAACAATATTGTTGTGTATTATTTAGTAATATACCTAATTTACGAGTCTGATGGCTGCGTATTTTAGGCAACAGATAGTTTGTTGCATAAAATATATCTGTGCCAAATGTAGTCTAACATATTGCGGGCTCTAAAGGGACACGTTAAATTGTTATACAGTACAATTTACATACGCACATGTCATGCTGTTGATTTATAAGTGATAAGACATCTTCTTTAGATTCATACTTGTGTAGCAATTTTTTAACAATTTCAAAAATATTTCATGTATGTTTGCCGGCATTTAATATTTTTTATTTAAGTACTTTCAATTCTTTTAATATACCAGTAATATAACATAATGTTGTTACAAATTTACCCTTATAACAAAACTTTCGTGAAGCTTTTATATTTCAGCTGCATACGTATAAAAATGGCAAGCAGTTTAATTTTTTAAATCTTTTTTTTTTAGGTAACAGACGGTGAATTGTGCAAGGAGATAGTTGAAGTTAAGCGCGCCGACATCAGGCTGCTTCAGCCTCCTTGGGCTGACGAGCTAGAAGAGGCGGGTACACATGCCGCATCTACATTGCATCCGGGCCATCTCCGTATGCATCATGTGCCTACTCAGGTGTGTTCTATACCTATATCTTGTTTAATTTTTATTTTATTTTTAATGTTTTCAGTCTTATCGTAGCCGGCATATTCCAGTTTGTAAAAAATATACGTGGAGGAAAACTTTAATCGACAAGTGTTATTATGTTTTATATATTATAGTGAAATCTCATCCAACATTAGCTGTAAGCGGCAACACAGCCTCGGCAAGAAAAAAAGGAGCTTTTGCTTCTCGATGTTTCCGTATCCCATAAGACGTTTCCTTACCAAACATTTCACAAACAGTATTTTTTGTGGCATAATCTTCACAGGATTGTCTCAATTCTAATATAGAATCTTCGTTAGAAACTGTATAGTATACTTATTGATATACTCGACAGCCTTATCGATCTATTACGTACTACTACTAAATACTCTGTGCTTACGATATTACATGATATCAGTTTATTACAATAAATAGTATTATTTGTCACCCTGATTAAGGGAAAATGGTTTATTTATATACATGCGAATTATATCACTGTTATTTGAACTATAATGAATATGATGACTTGTAAATTTTTAAAAGTATGAACTTAACAAACCTTAAACTGACTAACTGAAAAAAAATGTCAGTCGCTAAGGAGAAAAAAATATGCACGGTTGTTGAAAGGTTTTACCTTTGCTTTATTAATATACAAGCTGTCCATCGTAATTCATTTTTAATGTTTAAAAATGTTTATGATAGACTGTGTTTATCTAGAAATTGTCAGTCACATCTCAAAAATAGAGAATTTCAGATATATTTTTTTCATTTCATTAATGTTACGCCTGTTATTGAAGTAGGTCAAACAGGAGATGTATTATATCCCTTAGAATTTGTTGCAATCGTAACCATAAAATTATTATCTTTCCGTACAGATGTGCGGCGAAATCTTCTACACCTCTTCACCAATGCCTGGCGCAGGTGCTGGTGGCGTAGTGACCGTGGGGGCGTTGTCCAACGGCTCCATGGATTATGGAGAAAGCGACGATGAACTCAGGCGCGAGGACATCATGTTCCCAGCCGATGTCTCGCACATGGGTAATTACACCATGGGTAATATTTGTTTTAGTAACAGTTTTTTCCTTACCTGTTTTAAACTATTTTTGTTTATTGTAATTCAGATTGTGAACGGAATTTCAATAAGCAGGCAAAAATGAGCATATCTTTAAGTTCATAGTTTTATCACAGTTCTGCGCAAGTACTCGTATCAACGATAACGGCTAAAAGTTTTCTAAGAATTTGGTCACAGTTCAGTTTTTAGAAGTGCCAACTATCCCAGTCTTATGCTGCCAGCCACTTACTTATAACTTGTGATTCATACCATAGAATAATTAAGAATCTTTAATGTAGAGCTAACGTCACGTCCTATTGTTGACAGACACTTGCGGCAACAGTAAGCGCAGCAGTTTACAGAGTCGTGGCAGCACCTCTAGTCTGCTCGAGAGAAGTCTCACACCCAGATCTCAACCACCTACCCCAAGGTAAGAGTGATTTGTGACCAGATCAGTGTATGTTTACTCTACTGACGTCACAGAACGATCATTACGAATCACCACTACCACAGTACCGTAGAGTTTACAGTAAATAAGATTTTTATTATATTTGCCAATTTCCTCCGAATACCACGAACTTTTCGCAATTTTGTATGTGATTTCCAAGACAAAAATATTTGTTTCAACAAATGCATTGTTTAAACATTAGACCATGGTATACCCCATTTAAGCAAATATTTAGCTCATTATTAGGAGTAACGGACTTCATTTAACAAATCCTTGTAATTCAATCAATCAATCAAATAATTTATTTTGCGAACATATTAAGGTGTTAATAAAGGTATAATAATAAGCAGCCACATTCTACGTCAAGGCATGCAAAAAATATTTACACTTTTGTTAGTTTCTACAATAATACATAATAAAACAAAAATATAGGTATGTTAAATTTGCATAGTCAATTTATGAAATAATAAAAATTATTAAATAAACAAATGTCAGCAATTTCATGTCAAAACAATTACTTCTTTTTATAAAATTCTGTCACCCATAAAGTCTTACTGACTTTACTATAATAACATTTTCCAACCAAGATATACATATTTTCCTTACATAAGTCAATATTTAATTTTTTAATGTAAGATGACAGTTCATTATAAATTTTTGGCGCAATACGTATAACTAGCGGCACGTAAGTCTAGCGCTGAGCGGAACGTGGAAGGGATAGCCGCGCATGGGTACTATCGCGCACGCAAATATTAACTTTAGTAAATAGTTAATGTTATAGAGTGTAACTTCTGAAAGTTGTTCACGTGCCAGAGTCGTCAAATTTGAATTTCTTTATTTTCTCAACAATAGGTACAAAAGGTAAGTAAGTAATCATACTATATAACATTATAAATGTGAATGTAAGTTTGATTGTTACGCTTTCACGTGAAAACTACTTAACCGATCATCATGAAACTTTGTACACATATTCTTGGAGGTTTTAGAAGTAACATATGATACTTTTTATTAAAATAACATTTTTTACGAAAGATAAAACTGCGAGCGAAGCCGCGGGTAAAAGCTATAACAATATATACAGACAGTTATTGTGCTTGTAGGAGATGGGAGCCTGCACTGGGTTGAACCAGTATTATTGGTCTCCATGTGTATTAACATTTAAATCTTAAATAGTAGTAATAAACGTGTATGTTAAAAAAAATGTACTTTGTTTGTGCGTGTGCGTGCGTGTGTATGCGTGAGTGTATGTGTATGTCATTATTATAGTTTATAGTTCCAATATCCAAAAAATTATGTTACCCAGGATTTTTAACAAGTTCATAGGAAGTAGAAAAATTAAAACAGAATTTGTTGAACTATAATTATATGCAATTCACTTTGTGAAAGTTTTCAACTTAGCAGTTTATTATCTAAACAATGATGCTTGATTTGTCGCATTAAATACCACAACAATTAACGCAGTCCTTTCCCTACCACAACATACGACTGTAACGTTAAATAATTTTAAAACGCTTTTTTTATGTCTTCTGTTCCCAGCTGCAACCTGCATTGTCTTTAAATGAGTATTGTATTTATTGCAACAAAAATTAACAGCGATAACAATATAACTCAGAACGCGACTGTACTCTGGAAGCACGCGGCGTGTCGTATCAGTGCGGGGGACGTAATGCGACTGGAGAGCCAATCGGCGCTACGCACGCCCGCCCTTCGTCCCTCTTACCCCACAAGATACCTGATTTTTGACTTCTGCGCAGTAACTGTCACCGCTAAAGTTTCGTGCCGCTACTTATAGCAAACTTATACTCATCATCCTTGTTTTAGCGCTGTGTAAGCACAATCTATTATCGTTGCGCCTGTTTCTTCTTACAAGGTCAGATAGGCGCTGAAATAGGTCAGACTTTTTGTGTACGAATGAAGCTATCTCCAGTATGTATAGTGACGGAAGTGTCAGGATGCCAGGCCGGACAAAATACGGCCTACAACTATCAGTCGATTGCAGATCAAACATGGCTCGAACGCAACGTTTCCGAGTCTTAAAAACCATTACGCTATTGTTGAGTTACCCCAAAACATGATGCCATATCGTAGCAGTGATTCAGATAGACTGTGATAGGCAGTAAGGACAGTATCATTATCAACGATTCCCGACCAATTGTACAGTGCTATGCAGAACTACTGATGCTTTTGCATAGTTGAGCTACATGTTCTTTCCAATTTTTCTTTCAAAACCTAAAAAATTCTCAGAGAATGCTTCTTTTATCGCAAGATTATTGTGACTGATTGTAATCGGATTGATGGGTCTTTGACTAAAATGACTTACGTTTAATGAAGATTAATTTTAAGGTTATTCCGGGCTAACCAATCGACAATCGATGACATACAGTCATTTATATCGTCCTGAAAACTGTCACGGGTTTTGACGGATTGTATTAAAACAGTTCAATCGTCTGCAAACAAGGACATTGGATGTCTGGTATATTAAGGCAGGTCGTTGATATAAAGAAGAAACAAAAGTGGGCCTAAAGCACTACCTTGAGGTACACAATACCTTAATTACCCGGCTTTCCGATAGGTAGGATTCCTCATACTTTTCTTTTTTTTTTTCTCATAACGCCATCTAGTCCTAAACTAAGCAGAGCTTGTACTATGGGTACTAGACAACTGATATAAATACATAATTACTTTTTTTTTACAAATCCTACAATCCAACCAAATCAAACATTAAATGTTCATCCACACAAATGTTGAACTTGAGCGGGAATCGAACCCGCGACCCTTGGAATAGCAGTCCGTTACACAAACCGTTATTTAATTTCGAGATGGTTGTCATTTGTATACGCTTGCCAAGATATGGTTTTATTAAGTTTAAAACGCCACGTATTCCATAAGATTCCAGTTTTGCTAGTAGTATTTGGTGATCATCATCATAATCAAAGGCCTGAGTATTTAGCGCAAGTAGGAACTGTTATCCATATTTGCAATGAAATAGTATGGTATTAAAATAGTATGTAAATTTATAATAAAAATTAAATAAAGTGTAACGCTAGCATATTGGAATATATCCAAACAAAATGCTACAAATTATATTTGTCCTCATATAAAGAAAAACACGAAAAGCACATATTGAATAGAAATCATTAAAAATAAACAGATTACGTTTATTTGACTCTTTTCCACAGATCTCAAGCGGCTACACCGCACAAGTACAAGAAGGGTGATGTGGTATCTACTCCCACTGGCATTAGGAAGAAGTTCAACGGGAAGCAGTGGCGTCGTCTCTGCTCTAAGGATGGGTGTACTAAGGAGAGTCAGCGAAGAGGATTTTGTTCTAGGCACTTGTCTCTTAAAGGCGTTACTCGGTCCTCGAATACACCACTAGCTCAAGGATCTGCACATACACCACAACAGAGGTAACATTTCTTAGCGAGCCCTTATAACCCCCCTCTAAAATACAACACATGGCTATAAGTTCTAGTGGGTTAGAGTCCCTTGGATATATTGATACTTGCATATACATGGAGGTATTTACAGACATTGACATACACATTTAATTATTATTGTGTTAAGGCACCATTCTCGTACACAGAAGTCTAGATCTAATAAAACCTGAGCAGCAGCACATCTACGCTATTCAAATGTGAATGTTTTTATCATCAATCGTCAATCATTTTTATCTATATTTTGCACCATATTATGTCGATGCAGGAAATACCTATTAGCAATACATAATTAATAATTATTAATATTTACGTAAAAGTTCGTTTACTAACCAATAATATATGGACTTGAATATCCTCATCTCATTACCAGTATCTTTCACCTTTACGATTTTCCTGATTTAAATGATTATTTATTAGTTTTACAGAAGAGCTTCTGTATTATTTTTTTATAGTTGTTCAGTAGAGAAACATGTCCGACTCAATTATAACATGTGGAGTGGTTTCAAGCCTTGTGGTATTTATAGCTCAATAGTATTATTAGTACTTGATACAAATATAAATAATTTATTGACATAAACACTTACACATAATTGAGAACTGCGGTTGTCACAACATAGTTTTCGGTGTCGTCTTCGCCCCTTTTATAACAAAATTAGCTATTGAGTTAATTAAAAATAAAACTACATATTGATAAAGCAAAGACCTAATAAAAAAACCAGTACTAATTATGCCAAATACAAACTGTTCAGAGTATTGAGAAAAAGAGAACGGTAGTTTCTGTACCCCTAGTAATATATGATGGATGATAATCAAACTCGTACTGTTTATAAAGTGAATCATCCTAACTATTTTTATGTAATCATATTTTTAGAACTTTGCTAGAAGTAAATTATTTCTTCTTAAATAATTGTTACAGCTGCAATAACTTAACGTTCTAGTGGTGTTAACAAAACGTATTCCTACGTTTTCTAAAGTTGCCATGCATAAAATATAAATTACATAAAAACGAAATGTTTACATTGAGATAATTGACTACTGTATTTAGCAGTTAAAACAAACATTTCTTTAATAATAATGTTGACTGTAAGTAAGTAAAGGAATCATCACATCACACATCAACAGCCTTTAACAGTCCACTGCTGGACATAAAGGAATGATATATTTTAAATCAATTAATTTAAGGAAAGGTACTAATAACTTTTATTCAAATCGATTAGATTAATCGTAAACATTATGTAAAAAAGGTAATTAAACTGATTTGACAGTGGATCAGTTTATTGACAGATCAAAAAATCATAAAGATAGAATTTTGAAGCAACAATGACAAATAATTTGTGAAACAAACAAAGCAAACTACGAACCAAAATAACTTTTAAACGCAAAATTCTAAAAATCTGGTAATTAAAACTGTTATTGTTGATGATATTACCAGCCAAATAAATTAAGTATAGAAGAATGTAATCGCCTGAAGCGAGATTATATTCGTAAGTTTTATTAGAAATGTTTATTTCAGGAGTAGCAGTAAGTCTCTATCTTCGAGTGGGACAGGCGTTGAGGGTGATGAGACTTCGCGAGAGTCAGATACAACCCCGCCACACTATCGTGTCAGGGGTCAGTTCGATCCCGACGAGACTGAAGCTGCCAATATGTTGGGTAAGTTTTGATTTTAGATTGAAGCTGTTAACTCACTAAAACACGCTTTAGTAGGACCCCCTCCCTGTTTAGCAGATTAGAGAGCAGAGGAGAGGGGCAGGAGCTGTAGAGAATTCAGCCAAATTATTTCTAGCTAGCTAGCATTAGCTTTAAGATTGATTCTTGAAGTTTTTTGACCATCTTCAAATCGAAATTAACATTTTTTAATTTCTCTGCACAGTGTCTCTGGGTAGTTCTCGATCAGGCAGCCCAGGAGCATCGCCTGTAGGCGGTGGTGGTGCGTCTCCAGGTCTGGGCAATAATCTATTTCAACCTATCTCTTCGCCGCAGCCTCAGCATCACCCAGCCCTGTTTGCTCACCATCATCTAATCAGGTAACCATGTTTTTACACTGTAGTATTTGTAATCAATCGCATTAATAGCCTGCAATATGTTCCAAGCGTCTTGAAAGCTCCTTTACTAAATGAAATCTCTAACTTATATTTTTTTAAACAGCAATGCACAAGGTTTTGCGAGTAAAACAACGATAGCTAACCTAAATTAAAGAATTGTTAATATAAGTGAAAGTATAAGCATTCCCATTAATTCGTTAATTTCTCGCCTTATTGTAGTAAAAAAGTACCATAACAATGTTAATTTTTCATACACAAAATTCCAAGCGATTGTTCCTATTACTTGATTGACATTCTAGTGCTCTCTTATATTCTTTATAATTGTCGTGTTGGGTGCATATTATCAAATGTTATAGAACGTTAGCGTTATTATTGATATATTGTTATTCTAAGACAAGCCTTGATCCATATTGTTTAACTAACATAGCTTATGATTGTTCCTAGGCCTGAGTTGGTTCGACCCAGTAGAGTCAGCACGCCTGTGAACAGTGTTGCCACCAGTGTCATTCGGGTTTCTCCAGGACCTAATTATCATTACCAGGTAATATTTAAACATTGATTATACATATATGTGCACTTTCAAACGTCTGACGTTATTTTAGTTGCGTAAATATAAAAAAGTGTGTGTTTCTGTTACAAGTTTAAAAATATAAATAAGTCTAATATCATAGTATTTTTTAATCAGTATGAGCAGTTTTTTCATTTGAATTAAAAGCATATTATCATTTTAAGTTATGACAAGTACTTATATAAGTAAATTAAAAATTTTAAACGTTATTTGCATCAGATTCGCTTAAGATCTGTATTGTTTTTAATATTTATAAATAATTAGAATAATATTATACACAAGTTTAACCCTTAGCCTTGTGACAAATTCAATTAATTGGTTTTAAATACGGTTTTAGCGTTACAGTTTCTTTTATATTAACATTGTCAAGAAAATAGAAAGCCAAATCCAGTCAGGTCATTCTCAATTGATGCTCTTATTTGAAACAAAAGACTTTTTATTTATATAGATTCATTTTTGTCAAAACAGCAACATCGACATAGTCAAACACGGGCAATAGAAATAGTTTACATATTTATTATTTTCATTACAGGTTGATACAAACAGAAACGGCCAATCAATAGTTCAAACGAACAACGTGTCTCAACCGAACGTCATCGGTGTGCAAACATCGGGATTCAATCTCAACACTATCCATACAAGCGTCAACGCTCCAACCACTACACTTTCCAGCTTAACATCTTCGAATATCTCCCTCAATTTGAACAACCTGTCTCAGAACATACAAACGAGCGTCGCCAATAACATTCGCAACACTAATGATCTCGCACACAACTTAGTGATTCCCCGAAACATACCAACCTCAAATGGCATCGATATCGAACATCTGTACCGGCCACCCATCCACCAACGCAACGGTATCCACGAACCTTACCGTCGCGACATGGACATGTCCCCTCCCCTCAATAATCATGAAAATTTTCTGAATAGAAGAGTCTCGGAGTATGATGATGACGATCATACGATTTCTCAAAGAGAGAACAATACGATAAGAAACGTAATAGATGCTCGACCCCCAGAACTATCCGAGACTCGTGTAATAGAAGACAATAAGAGGATCTTAAAACCAGCGGCGGCTAGATTGTTCCCCGCAGATTTAAACGATATCAAGGACCAAGGAAAACGCATTTTTGTAACCATGTTGCAGAATACGTCAGACAAGAAGTACTTTCTTATAAAGAATGAACCTTCGGAGCCTGTACAAGTTAGTGTAAGTGTCTAATGGTTTTTTATTATTTATTTGTAACTTTCTATAGGTTTTTAATTGGGGTTTTTAGTTAGTTGCTGTCATTATCCTTTCATTATTAACTTACTGTTGGTACAGTAAGTTAATTATGAAAGTCCCTTGCAGGTAGTAAATGGTGTTTCAATTACTACCTGCAGGGGATTCACCCTGAGAGTGGAAAAATAGGAATATCGAGATGTTGTAAGTTGTCGTATGTATCTTTCCAACCATCTCTTTCATCGGACTATCAAGTATCAGACTGGGAGTCACCAAATTATTTGTCAATAAATCTCTTGATACTGGCCTGAATATTGCAAACCACACCCAATTATTTTAAAGTAATTATGACGAAGATTCTAAATAGCTTATCGATTATTTCGTATGGCGGCGGTATCTACCATCATTTATCGTAACAATATACTATATCTACATCAGTATCATGCTTATTTTTGTCGTAGTAACTAAATAAATAAATAGGAATAATATGACACATCAACTACCTGCCCTTTTCTTTTGTTTTGGTTGAAACAATATAATTTCTTTTTAATTCTTATTCCAGCACTTGTTATTTCACCCTTCATTCTACAGACTGTTACCAGACTTATGCCAAAGACTTAAATTACAGATAACACAGTTCAATATAAGTCGGTTAAAATTAAAAAAAAAACAAAAAAATACAAAATAAAAAAATGCAAATTTAGAACAAAATAAATACAATAAAATAATGCCGAATTGGAGCACCATTGATAACACGGGTCACTCACCTGTAGACGACGCGACGGCAGCGATGCAAAAATGGCGCCAACATCAAAATGAGCCTAGCGACGCGGCGCCGCAACGGCGGAGGCGCCGCATCGAGCAGCCGAATATTACATTCGTATCACTAATCAGTTACTTCACTTGCGCTTTATTTAAAATCACTAAATCAATTTATTAAAATATGAATACCACTCGCAACAGTTTTTATTCACTAGGTCAATTTTTACTTAAAATTTGATTTAATAAGAATAAACTTTATTGTACACCAGTTTAGTACATCATACATACAATAGTAATCAAATTAATTTAAATTTTTAGGTTTTCAATGTGCCTACCGTTCACATCAATGCATCGAATACACCTTCGCTTCATGTTGTCTCGTATTCTAGCACACAAGTTGTCATTTGCTGCCAAAGCTTTTAGTTTATTAAATGCACTTATTATCCTCGATCTTAGGTCTTCTATTGAAGTGACGTCTGTTGTGTACACTTCATTTTTAACATATCCCCACAAAAAAAAGTCTAGGGGCGTGAGATCTGGTGATCTAGGTGGCCATCGTGTAGGCCCATAGCGTCCTATCCACTGTTCACCAAACATGTGATTAAGACGCTCCCTGGCAGCCACCACTGAATGGGCAGGCGCTCCGTCTAGCTGGTACCACATACGCCTGCTTTGAGCTACAGACAGTTGATCTGTATAATCTGACACTGGGCCATCAAGCAATTCCAAAAACCTGATAGCAGTCAAATTTCCATTAATGAAAATTGGACCGATTATCTTATTGCCGTGAATTGCTGCCCATACATTCAACGAAAAACGGTACTGGTGGGAAGATTCGCGTACAGCATGAGGATTTTCCCTAGCCCAATATCGCAAGTTTTGGCGATTCCATATACCATTACGTGTGAAGGTACTCTCGTCAGTCCACATGATGTTAGATAGAAATTCAGGGTCATTCGTTACCTTCGTACATAACCACTGACAGTAAGCCACTCTTATGGGTTGATCTCTGTTTAATAAAGCCGATACTTTTCGAAATCTGAAAGGCCGTCGTTTATTAGCCTTTAAAATACCGTGGACCTTTTTGTGGTGAACACTGAATTGACGAGCAGCCCTACGTAAACTGCATGTAGGGTTACGCGTAAAATGGTCTAACACACGTTCTTCAAGGGCGATCGGTGTTCGGGGAGCAAACTCAACATCACGTGGCACCAAACTTTGATTGTCTCGTAATCTTTGTACCGCCCTTACAAAAATTCGGCTGTCTGTAGGGCATACACGAGTGGTTCCATATCTCTCACGGTATGTCCGTAAAGCTAAAAAAGCGTTTTAATGGCATTCCCCGTAAATTAAGACCATGTCAGTATACTCCGGGGCTGTAAAGGTCACTCGCGACATTATGAATGTTAATATTAATAATTCAATATAATTAAAACACTAGTAAGAAACCTAGTTTACACTACACACACACACACACTCCACAACAAAACTAATATTGTTACTTTCAAAACAAAATTAGCGGGACTCGTTGCAATACAAACAGTCTTGCAACAACTGACCGCAGACCGATTGACGCTACTCTACTTTCTAGAACCCGGAAGTCATCGAATATTAAATAATTAAATCAATGCTGCCAATTGTCAAAGCTCAAAAAACATTATTATAATGAGTTTACCTGTAGTAATCATTACGTACTGTAAATAAAACATTTAATATAAACAATATAATTTACACAGCCTAATAATATTAAAATACTTATTTATTAGCATATTTTGTTTATAATCAATATGTAAAAAAAAGCGCGCAATTACGATGCATACATGCTAATAGGTTGGTAGCGATCCGATGACACAGTAACCAATTACATGCTTCTAATTTATTTTCGCCGACACTGACCAACACAAGTGTAAGAACCTTGTTGTCAGACACAGTATTATCTTCCGTATGCCGTTGCAATATGTTTGATTTTACTTTAAAGAAATTCTTTTTTTTTTTTTTATTAATTATTATTTCGTAACTTGTGCGGTAGCGTTTGTATAGCGACAGCGGGAAGGTCATTGACACTTACTACTTTAGCTTTGCGTAAACATATGGTGTTGTAAAATACGAAACACAAAAATGAGTCCTGTGGCTAAACTACTGGATATATTTTGTTCATATTTTGCAAATCGCCTAGAAATTAAGGACAGAATATAGGGCTTAAATATTTGTATAACGAAATAAAACACTCTGTATATACACTGTGGCGGTATAGATATCACAAAAAATGAAATAACAGATAACACGGTTCAATATACGTCGGTTAAAATAAAAAAATAAAAAATTAGTACGAAAATACAGAAATGCAAATTTAGAACAAACTAAATACAATAAAATAATTTCCGAATTAGAACACAATTGATAACATGAGTCGGTGAACTGTACCTACACGGCAGCGTCGCAATGTCGGCGACATCAAAACGACGCCGCCGCCGCCGCGAGCGGGCGAACTTTACATTCTTATTACCTACCTACCAATCACTTCACTTGCTTTTAAAAATCTATTTATAAAGAATGCGATTTTATTCACGTGTTTATTTCGTGAATGCTCGACTAGCTTCCGACCCAGCAGTACGCGTCACTCCTTGAAAAAGTAGTTACCTTGGTTGTCTCGTAATCTTTGTACCGCCCTTACAAAAATTCGGCAGTCTGTAGGACATACACGATTGACTCCATACGTGTCCGTAAAGCAAAATATGCGTTTTGATAGAGTTTTCCATAAATTAACATCATAGCAGGATATTCCGCGGCTGTGAAGGTCACTCACGGCATTATGGATGTTGATATCGATAACCCAATAAAATTAAAAGACTGATAATGCACTCACACTACACTACACACAGAACCTAATAGTGACTTTTCAAAATAAAATTAGCAGGACTCCTTACATTACGAAGTCTTGCGCACACGATAACATTAATTGTTCACACCATTGCCGTGTATTATGACGAAAGCAATAAGACTAAACAATTATTACCACAAGAAAACTTCTCTAAACAAATATGTATCTCATAAACAACAACAATATTATTATTACGGTTATTTGTCGTGAGCTCATCTACAAGGATACGGAATAGCATAAGCTCGCCGGTGGCCAAGGGCCGACTGACTGTCCTTACTGGATGAACTAATTAAAAACGCGTGTTGCATCGTGATGACGTAATAATCAACATATTTCGTTCGATTCGGGTGTAGTAAAAGCGGCAACGTGTGATTACCGCGCCGCGTATACCTACAGCTGATCGCCGCCTGAGGTCAATGTATTATGACTGCATGTACACATGATGTTGCAATTTACGAAACACAAAAATGAGTCCTGTGGCTAAACTACTGGATATATTTTGTTCATATTTTGCAAATCGCCTAGAAATTAAGGGCAGAATATGTGGCTTAAGTATTTGGGAAAGGATATGAAACTCTCTGTATATAGCCTCTTAATGAAGTTACAATCATCCCTCCGTATCACAAGTATATACCACGATAGTCTATGACAGTTCGACTTTCATCTCCCATTACTGCATAAATAGAGCTGAATGATTATTGGATTGGACCAAACTATCCTAAATGATAAATAAAATTATCTGTTTAGAAAGACACCTATTATTGCAATAATTAAAAATCCTTTATACATAACACGGTTCAATCTTATAAGTAATTTAATAAAATATAAATTACAATAACAGTTTTCTTTTATTCCTTCCATCTATATTGGTATTATCAATGACATGTGATATCAGTCTACGGTACGTCTGTGAGACGCTCGATGTGGTTTCGTATTATCGTAACAAGATGGCGATATATGTAGTATGTAATTTATTTATTTATCACAGTTGTTGTAGATAATAATAGACTAGTATAATGAATGTATGACGTCATATTGCAGATAGAGTCGCGCGTGAATCACTTGACTCAACAGATGAACAACAATGATCCCGAGCCGGAACACCGGTCTTTAGATAATGGCGATCATGTAAGTATTGTTTACTTTGGATTTTCCTATTACTCGATTTTCAGTTTATTTTAGACTATATGGTATTGATAATGGTCTACAGTATGTTTGTTTTTATTAAATCACACATACTTATAATAAAATTTAAAAATTAAGTGCAAGCTATTTTTAGTAGAAGGCAAGGAATAATTACTGTTTGTCTACCAGTTACCTACGTTTTAGACCTATGGAAAAAATATGTGTTCTAAGATTAATACTATTCATGCATATTTGATGTTAAATTTCAAATTACATAGTTTCTTTAGATTTTTGATAGGAAAACGTCTAACACCTAAAAAAATTAAATTTTGTTACGTCAGAACAAAATATTTAGAAAATCATTGACAAAATATTTTGTAAATAAATTATAACATAAAAATATGATATAGTCTCATAGTTTGTAACTATTACGAGAAATAGATAACATATTACCAACTTGTATTAAAAAGAAAATTCTTCATCATCATCAACAGTCTTTACTAGTCCACTCATGGACATAGCCCTCTCCTTAGAAAAGAATTTTGTCCTACTTTGTTACTTGGTCGAGTTTTACTAATTTACCAATATTTGACTGCCTTCGTTAGTGCAGTAGGTAGCGCATGCGACTGCAGCGCTGAGGTCTCGGGTTCGATTAACGGGTCTGACCAAATGTTTGTATGATCTGCAAATATTTGTGTAGGAGTTTGGGTTTTTTCTATGTGTAATATGTATGTATTTACAAAAAAAGTATTCTATCAGTCAATCTAGCGAATAATCAATATTTATTTATTATTTATTTATTTATACATAATATATCATGAGAATCTGATTCTGCTTTCCTGAAATGAAACTGAGAATATTCTAAGCGTATGACATTTGACGACAGGTAAATAACGTCAACAGCAGCGCAGTGATAGTACACCCCAACCAGTTACTACCAGTTCTGCCCCCGCCTACGTCACACACGATTATCGGTAAGTCATAAATGCAATATCTTTTTTATGGCTAGAAACAAGTGTTAGATTTAAATGCTATACAAAGAAACTACATATAGTACATAACTTCTAGATGGACTCGATCCTTTGAACGAGTGGTTGTCAGAACAAATTATTCTTGTTCTTTTCCCCAATTTGTTTGGGGTCGGCATAATGAGTATTCATCTTCCATTCTCCTCTTTCGCTCAGTTCACTGCGTGATCCTTTTCTAGCCATATCCATCTTTTCTTTAGTCGCCCACTACTCTTACATCCGTTAACTTACAAATATAAAACTTTCGTCACTACATTATTTTGTAAATGTTGTCGAACCCGAGCTTACTTTACTTTTTGTCCAGTATGTATAATTATATCCAGTATGTATAATTTCTCTCTAATAAAAACTTTAACGCAAATTTATCAAATAAAACACATTTATATCAAATTTTCTTTTGTTTTAATATATGTAACTTTGCAGTCGTCCTATGTTGAAGGTACGATACGAATTATCTTGTGCACAATATGTAATGTAATTCTTCAGATAATCGAAGGATGATCATTAAATTACAGTTAGTGTTTTGACACTGCTATAAAGTTGCAGTGTGCAGTGAGATTAATATGGATGATAGCATATTTAGTCTACGTGAAGACCCCTAAAATATTAGTTTACTACATTGAAAAATAATTTCTTTGTGAAAGTTTAAATGACTCACTACTGACTAATAGGACACTAATATAAAATAAACTTCATCCGTCGGGCCTGCGGTCTAAATTATACGGACTGTCATTTTTCATTTACACACTACATCTTTATAATATGTATTTTGGATTAGGTTACAAAAATATATTTAAAATAAATATATTTTCGATTCCCACCCGGCACAAATATTGTGTGATGAGCACGGTCACTTGTTCTGTTTCTGGGTGTAATTTATCTATAATATGTATGTATTTAGAAATATATAAATATGTTTGTTTATCAGCGGTCTGGTTACTATAGTACAGGCTCTGCCTAGTTTGGGATCAGACGGCCGTGTGTGAGATATATTATTATTATTATAAATAAGAAAAGTAATACTAATAGCAAAAAATTCACACACGGCCGTCTGACTCTAGGTTAGGGGCAGTTTCTATTACGATAATCAGAGTGCTGATAAACATACTCGCATAATTTTAAACACAAACATATTAAATATAAATTTCACCCAGACGGAACAAAAGATCGTGTTCAGTATTGTCTTGGGTGGGAATCGAATCAGGATCGCTTACCATTAGACTGACAGGCCAGAATAATGACTCGGGCTTAAAAAGCTTTATACTCATAAAGAATTACGTATTCACTTGCACGAGAACACTTGATGGTGTGTATATGATTGTGTATGCTACGTTATTCACACTTGTGGCAAAAAACCTGTTTTTATTATATATGTAATATAACGTTTCGTAATGGACATGTGCGTTAAAGAGGAGTCGAGCAAGCAAAATTGATGATATATTTGAAATATTGATGACATACGTGCCGTCCCCAGTGTCAGGCAACACGTTTCCGTGGCAATCGTTGGTGCCGCTGCTGAGCGGGTCGCCGCCGCCCGCGCCCAGCGCCGCGCCGGCCGCGCCCGCCTCCCCGCGCACCCCGCGCACGCCGCGCACGCCCCACACGCCGCACACGCCCCACACGCCTCACACGCCCCACACGCCGGCTCCTAGCATCAAGACCGAGGACCAGATCAAGACGGAGGCAGCCGGTATGTCGCTGTTTTAAATAAACGCGGGTGGCGTGCTGGTTTAATCGCCGCTTCTTACTCTGAGTGGTGTGCGTTCGATCTCCAAGTAGGACAACGCTATGTGATCCACATAGTTGTTCTGAGTATGCTTGTAAAGTTCCCCGCGATACAGTGTGAGATTTGTCTTTAAAAAAAAAAGAAAATACACGCCGACACCTGCGATAATACCGTAACGTTGTCTCTTTTTCCTGAAGAGGATCACCAAAATAAAAAAATAAGATTACTCAACGTCAACGGGACCGGCATTCTTACTTTTAATTACGAGCGTTTTCACTATTTCTAAATCTTTTATACGAATGTAATATTTCATTATCGCCTGCAGATGCACCTATGTGTACGGATGAAGATGATGAAGTATTCGAATGTGAGGATACGCCTCCGGCGTGCGATGACTCCAGCAAACGCCCTTCCCAAAACAATCAAAATCTTAATTCACCCGCTAGTACGACGGAAAAGGTATGTAGTTATTTAAAAACATGTGTACATTAAAAAGATAATTGAATAAGATTTTACATCTATAAAATACTAACTGTCAAGACGTAAAACGTAGTTGATTAATAGTAAAGTTCATAATAGAAAATTTGAAACAATAACGCTTATTTCGTTGTAGAAGGGGAGCCGTATTAGACGTCCAATGAACGCGTTCATGATATTCTCCAAGCGTCACCGACAGGTGGTACATCAGTTGCATCCGAATCAAGACAACCGCACCGTCAGCAAAATACTTGGTGAATGGTGGTACTCGCTGAAGCCAGAGGAGAAACAAAAGTATAATGAACTTGCCTCTGAGGTATGTTGAAAAAGAAAACAAACGCCAAAATTTATATGAATTTCTTGTATTTATTTTTCTTTACCACCAGTAACAAATATAAAAGTAATGTTTGCAACAATCTTAGTAAAAACGGATAGATCAAGTTACAGTTTCCTATATGCTGTATATATTATATAAAAGCTTTTCCCAGAATACATTGTATCTGGGTACTTAAAATAAAATTGATGTTGAAGACTAAAATTTGCATTTGTACACGATTTTCCTAGATTTCTTCATACTACAGGATTATTCTATCAAATTCTTTGGTCTAGTGTTCACAGTAATTGTAAAATTGTGGTATCACATGTAAATTACATTGTTATACAAGAATATAAAAATGCAAATCATGTGTGGTATTATATAAAAATGTAATAATGTAGGTATGTAGCATTAGGATAAAATGTTTAAATTTTACCTGCCACTGTTGCCATGTCCCACAATGCCCTATTGTTTTGATTGTTATAAATACGGCTCTAAATAGGGAATGGTTCTTGATATCTACTCAATAGTATTACAAACATGTATCAATTGTGTAATTCAGAGGTCTTCAACCTGTTAAATAAAGTTGGTGTACTGGCATAGTATTGCAATTAAAGTACACATATCCTGTCTATAATGTAGGTAGATTGTTATCCTGATTACAATTACCTGATTTTTAAATTTACTATTTGATTCAAATTAATACGTTGACGACCGGATGGCGTAGTGGTTTGTGTAACGGACTGCTATTCCAAAGGTCGCGGATTCGGTTCCCGCTCAAGTCAAACATTTGTTTGCATAAACATTTAATGTTTGATTTGGTCTGGGTGTTTCTATGTATAATAAGTATGTATTTAAAAAAAAAAGTATAAATTATGTATTTATATCAGTTGTCTAGTACCCATAGTACAAGCTCTGCTTAGTTTGGGACTAGATGTCGTTGTGTGAATGTGGTAGAATATTATTATTATTACTTGAAATATTTAGGCTATGTTACAATGGTTTATAAACATAACCTTTAGGGTCTAAGGCGGCATAATAATAGATGAATTATGATACTTAAGCAGCGCTTACGACAAAAAAAAGATAAATGACAAAAATATGCAATTATGAATGTATTATTGCACGAGCCAATGCGACTCGTCTAATTCAAATCATTATGGTCTTGCTGGTGTCGAGTTTTTGAGACACGATTATATTTATAATTAAAGTTATTTTAAAATATAATAGTGCAAAAAAATTATAGGTGAAGGAGGCTCATTTTAAAGCCCACCCAGAGTGGAAATGGTGTAACAAGGATCGTAGGAAGTCTTCCAGTAGTAAGGATCCGACTGGATCAATGCCACAGGTAAGAAAATATTTTATATCTTTTTATTCATTACACATAATTTTTTGAGGTATATTTTAATGTCTATACTCTGTACCACTTGCTTTATTTAATATTATCAAAATGATTTTTGTCAAACCAAATTAATATATTATGAAATTATATTGTAAAATTTTCGCTTTACATAAAGGAGAAAGTTCTTTCTTTCTAATATTTATTCTTCTTTCTTTTATAAAATAAGTATATAAATATATTTATAACATTTATTATTTTGTTTTCCACAGAGTCCACGAACACCTTTAGATGTGCCAAACGGTGGAACGATAACCACCAACTCGGACTTGCCAGTACCAGTGGTCTCATACAACCATGTTGGATCGCCACAACTTAGTGATGATGAACAGATGGTGTGTATTATAATTTTCAAAATTCTGTTATGTATGTGGTCATATTACGACTTGAAGTAAAAAAAACAAAGAATAGGTGTTATTCACAGTCATCAACACTAAAATTAATGATATCAGCCATTTGCTTTTCAGCCATCTCAGCCTGTAGAGGAGCCTACTGTATCAGCAAGTATAGAGATCGACTTGAAATGTGGCGAGAAAGTCACCGATTCCGATTCGGAAGGACTTGATACCCGTGATTACCTACCATCGCACCACGATCACACTAGACGTCCTAAACCTATTAAAGCCAGGTAAATGTTAAATACACGTACATTAATAATTTCCCAGGGTTGCTGTAATTACTGAAGCCCCTGACGTTTATAATTATAGAATTTATAAGAATCATCGTGGACATAGCCACAATCTTCCATATAAATTTATATTACAGAAGAGACAGCGACAAATAGTAAACAAAGCTCGTAAATTGCTGTGGTCCAAAAGATCAATTTGATTATAGAAAGAAGTTATTGTATAGCGTAGTTTTGATACTTGATCGTTATTTTAAAATGTTATTTTATTTCTAGGGCTGGATCCTCAGACAATCTACTGGGCGGTATCACAGCCTCTAGTCCCGGAGGTCCTAAAGGTTTTCAACCGACTGGAGGTGCTTTTAAATCTACTCATGCTGATACGGGTAAGAATATTATAAGTTGGTATTTAACTCAGTAACAAAGGATTTATTATCTATTTAGATTCGACGACTAATTTAAACGCAGTGTTTCACAGTGTTTCAACGGTGAGGTAGGACTTGTGTGCAGTCAGGCCCACATATTGATGGATTGTCGAATAGACTCAGCTCTGCAGCATACGCGGTTTATAAAATTCGTCAATTAACCTCGCGCTTCGGGTCGTTGATCTTGTCTAGTATCGGTTAAGTTACACGATGGCTGAGGCCCGTATGCCTCTATGTATGGACAAGCCGATTCAAAACTATCGTCCTTTCTTCAAAAGGCCTACCTAGACCCTACACTGTACTCGCACTAATTTCTTCATTTCATTCATTCATTTATTTATTCAATTTTGTGTTAACTTTGTTTACGGACTAAAAGAAGAAAAAGACACCTATGTGGTTTGTTTCGGTGTTTCTTCCCAGAGTGAGTCTTAGGGAATGCCGGCTCCGTCTAGCTGTAAAGTCCGACTTGTAAAAATATCTGAAAATATTTACTTCCAAAAATAAATATCATTTATAATTTGTGTTAAGAGTGAGCTCATGCTGGTACTTATGTAAAGTATTACTTTTCCTAAACTTTAAAATAAAATATTTCAGGAGATAGCCACAGACAGTGGGGTTTCAGCCACGTGAACAAGCCGGTGCTATCCCACCAAGTGGCGAGCTCGCCGCACACGAGCTCGTCGACGGTGAGCTTGTCTCACAGCGTGCAGGGCATCTCGCTCAGCACGCCCAACATGTCGACGCAGGCCGCGCTCGACAACGCCATCGCGTCCATCATGCACTCGCCGACGCCCACGTGCGGAGTGCAGGTCATCTCCAGCGGCGTGGCGCAGCACCACGCACCGCCCCCCTCCACACACACCACCTACGCCACTCACACCACCCACGCCACCCACGCCACCCACGCCACAGCCGCGCTCAGCAGCGCCGTGCTCAAGGGCCTAACCTTCGTTAAGAAGAATATCAACGATAATTCACCGTGTAAGTACTTTTGTCTTGGGAATGTTTACATATACATACCAGAAAAAATTATTAGAAAACAAAGAAATTGCTCATCAATTTTTATTTTAACTTGTTGATACTTAAATCCTAAGAATGTGCACTTAGAAGAATTGATCTTAAAATAACATTGTTTTTATAATAGGTCCCTTGACGTTATCGTTGGACGCATCTGGCAACTTGCTAATCAAGCCCAGCCAGGTGGCCGAGAGTCCAGGCAGTGACTCCATGCATTGTGTTCATGTCCAGAGACTAACGTATGTGCCAACTTATAACACAGGTCAGTAATTTGTGTCAACCTTTATATCCTGTAATATCTTTATCTCTATATCTATCCTGTGTAAGGTGATTAAATGAGACTTTCATTTATTAGGTGTACTAACGACTTAGTCAAGGAATACAATACTCATGAAGAAAAAATGTCCAACAATTATTGATGAAGTCTGGGAGAGGCCTAATAGTCGCCTAGCTTAGATGATCTTCTTCTTAGATACTAATAATAGTTGTATTAATGTTTGTAGATGTAGAGACCAGTAAGCCTCACATTCAGAGCCAGCAAGGAGCCCAGTCTGTAATAGTATCTCAAAGTAACAGTAACGCCTTACCTAAACCTGTTCCCAAGTGAGTATAGTTCATTGTTGTTGTATTTTAAATTATGCACAAATACAATAAATAAATTAGATCTGTAATACCTAATCCAGGTTTTAATAAATGTAATCGTAAAAATAATTACCATTGGTAATTTCTTTAAAATGTTTTCACTCACTTTCTAGTATCAAAGTTCAACACTTTCGTTCGTCTTATATAATTACTTATAAATGTTTTCTTTAATTAGTCAATGGGAGACTCCTGTGGAAGAAACTCGACCATTCCCGTTGGCACCTACTCCTGCACAACTTGGAAGGGCACCACTACAGAAACGCTTAAGTCGAGGTAAGACATTTTATTACCTGTTCTAAATTATATAGTCTGTATTAACTATGGACTAAAAGATAAATACAAAACTGAATTATAGAAGGTAATTTTTTATAACTTTGAACATATTTGCAGAATATTGTTTTTTTAATATTTTATCACTCCCTGACAGACAGGGAGATATGTATAAAAATTACCGGTACTATTATCTTCGTGGTAATATTTCATTTGTCAGGAAGTTAATCTTGTTTTCTCGGTCTTCTCAGTAACATAAGAAATATTTGTAAGCTTTGATGTAATTTGTGAATGCTAATTGTAATTTGTTGTAGCCGCTTGTAAAGTCCTTCAGGATGCAATTGTATAATAGTAATAAAACATGTAAGTTAAGGTATTAAATCATTTTTTCAGGTACATCAACTGGTTCGACAGGTAGCAACGAACCTGCAACGTCTATGGCCTCTGGACACGTTAATAACGGTCCTAGAACTGACATACCTACTAGTGGCAGCAACAGCATCGATGTTACAAGCCCTCGGTTTGAGGTGGGCTCGCCGAAATCCCAGGCGGATCTCCCCAGTCCCTCACACAAAAAGAGTCTGTTTAAGAAAGGCAACGAAGATGGGCGTGATAAGTAAGTACTACCTGATAATTTCTTATATTTACTGTCGCATTCATTCTTGAATAAATTGACTTTAAGTGAGAAGGCCACTTTTTTATGGTATCATTTTCGGCGAGAGCGTAATACCACTCCGGTCGAGCCTGCCCATTTGGGCCGAAGGATGACTCTCCCACCGTAAAAGCTTGTAGGTAGCTTCATATTTATAGAATGAAGTGGACCAGGCCTAACAAAGGGAAAAATAAACGTCACTTCGACCCGTTTCATGGAACTGACATTTACATGGTGGAGGTAGAGATGCCCCTCGGGATTTTCAATTTGTATGTTTGTGGCATTATATTAAACATGACGTAATTTTTTAAACGGTAACGTAAATATTACTTAAATTTAATATTCTTTAAAATAACGCTATTAATTTACGAGATTGGTGCGTTAAATCATTTGAAGGTATATTGTTGTTGTATAAAATTTTATTATTCATAACCATTCCTTACTTCCTTCTAGGGTTTTAGAGACAGTGAATTTTGAAAAGAAGTTTAGCACTTTGCCACAGTTTAAACCTGAAGCGTGCAGCCCTACTATGGTGGTGCCAAGGAGCCCACAGCTTTATATGAGGAAAAAACTTAATAAGATTGGCATGGGTACGTAACAACGTACATTATATATGTTGTAAATCAATAAACATTTGCAAATATCTTTTATGAACATAGTATAAATTCTGTCCTATCCGTATAAGTTCTATCCGTGTAGTGACGGATTAAGAATACGGAATGTCACTATCCCAATTCATCTCGTGGGTGTCCTAAGAGGCGACTAAGGGCGCAAAACAACGCAGGATACCAGCACTGCAAAAAAAGGAAAACTTGATACAATCCCTATACCAACCCGTCTGGCCAGCGTGGTGTGGTATAGTAGGCCAAAACCTCCTTTCTAAGGAGAGGCCTACGTCCAGCAGTGGACTATTAAAGGCTGTTGATGATAAATTCTGTTTGGTTTGGGTCTATATTTCACTTCAACATTTTACATTCAGATAGAAACTACGTATTCACTAAGTCCATAAGTAATTTTTATCTGGATTGTAAACGTCGCTTATTACCAAAATTGTATTACCTTAACTATAACTTTTATCAAAGTTCTTTTGGAATGTTTACATGACGTTTCACTTCGATTCCAATACTTTTATTTATAGATGTATCTTTTTTCTAGAAGAAGACGGCACTGTAGTCACTCCCCAGTTAGAATCAGAAGTGATAAACGGCAACGGCATGCCCACCCCACACTCGTATGGCACCCCACACACAACAACCACGAACAAGCTGGTCGGCAACACCTTCTTCGGACCAGACTTTAACCTCGACTCGTATAGAGGTGAGATAAGAGGTATTTGTATAAGTGTTTTTTTTTCAATTTCATTTTGTTGTTTTTAATCGCCCTAGAGTTTGTTTTATTTCAACGACCAGTATAACTTGAACTCATGTTATATAGACTTTTGTATAATGACAGGTCAAAATATATATTGTATCCTTATAATTACATGTAGCCATTTTTACATATTTTTTAACTTTACAGTGCATATTGTTTAATACTAAGGATGGACCCAAAACTATATAAAAATTCAACGGTCTATGGTATTGAAAAATATACTTTCACTTTACTTCACTATTAGTGCAGTCTTTATGTAAGTAATTTTGAAGGAAGTAAAATTAGGTTAAAATACTGGATAATGAGTATTGATATTATTGGCGAAGGAGGATAATGAAATACGCCTTCGTCTGTACTATTCAACTGAACTATAGCTCGAAGAGCCCTTATCAGTTTAATTTCACAGAACAGTCAGCGGTCTAGAGGTATACCACTTAGCTTGGAATTTTGTAACAATGAACGAGAAGCTCGTGTTTAACGCTGACGTGCCGGTTTCCAGTGTCGGAGGGCATGGAGGAGATGTCCCCGCGCACGCCGTGCTCGGCGAGCGGCGCGGCGGCGGGGGGCGGCGGCGCGCGGGGCGAGGCGGGCCACCGCCGCGTGCTGGAGCAGCGCCGCCACCTCGTGCTCAAGCTGTTCCAGGAGCACGGCATGTTCCCCACCACGCAGGCCACCACGCACTTCCAGGTAATCTAACGATACTTAACGATAGTCTAACGATTACTTCACGTTTCTCACTCGATTTAGTTACTTAAGACACTCTTACTGTTAGATGAGACTTCAAAAAATCTATTCATATGGCTTCCTTTCCTATAAAAGGAACATTAAATCTAAACGATTCGACGGTTGCGCATTATGAAACTATTACTTTTCACAGGTCATACATAGCTATCTTTTTGAGAAGGGCGGATTTGTTTTAACGGTCTAATACCTCATTTGTTAATTTTACCTTTCATCATCAGCCTATCGCAGTCCACTGCTAGACATATGCCTCTCCCATTGCACGCCACTTAGATCGATTTTGGGCTTCTCGCATCCAGCTCCTGCCAGCCATCTTGCGCAAATCGTCACTCCAATTTTACCTTTAATGATTCGATGTTGTTTTAGGCGACGCATATGGATATATTCCCGACGAAAACGGCTTTACAACTGAAGATACGCGAGGTGCGACAAAAATTGATGGCTCAATCCAACCTGACGCCACACTCCGAAGTGAATACCCCGACCAGTAAGTATTGATTACACTAAAATATTCTATTGTGACACATAAATGCCCGTTGATTTATTATCTAATGTAATTATGTAAAATAAAACTGATATGTACGATATTTAAAATAGTGTCTCAGTAAACCTCCATTACCGACTTTTGTCGTGAAGATGGTATATATCTAAATCAATAATACCACCCCCCCACCAACAGCCTATAACAGTCCACTGCTGGACATAGGCCTCTCCTTAGAAAGGAGGTTTTGGCCTACTATACCACGCTGGCCAAACGGGTTGGTATAGGGTTTGTTTCAAGTTTTCCTTCTCTTACCAGTGCTGTCGTCCTGCGTAGTTTGCTCCCTTAGTCGGCTCTTACGACACCCACGGGATGAATAGGGGTGGTGACATTCCGTTTTCTTAATCCGTCACCACACGGACAATAACAGATTTGAAATTATTATTTGTTTTTGTCAAAATTATTTAGTTAGTTTTTACATAACAGGACTTCAATACACAAGCTTACCTAAATAATTTAATGGTCGTCTATTATTTAACCTACTATTTAACCTGATAATCTGAACTAACGTACAGGTCACAATGTACTTAAAACTGTTACTGTAAATACATCGCAGTCCCCGACGAACACTATGGTAATCGCTATTACGATAGAATCGGGTTTATTAGATATTCGTTATCTACACACCCTATTACAATCATTGATTTTTTTTTATGATCGGGCGATGAATACTTTTGGATTTATCCATTCAATAATGATCTTTATGTTTTTGTTCAACGTATAACATAAGTGAAAAATTTACACGATCAATAACGCAAAAACCTATTACCAAATCTCAAAAGTCAACATTTTAGAGTAAGCGGCTATTACCATATTGTTCGAGGGAAAAATGACAGAATCAGAATCAGAATTTATACATAGGCACCGAAATGGTTATAACACCTAAAAATTATCATCGAATAAGCATGTAATTTATGTTTACCGTAATATTAAAGTCAGTTATATCATCAAATACGATTGCAATGTCATTTTACGAATATAAAGTATATTCATATTTACCATGGAACAATATCATAATGAACGATTACTACAGCAACACCGATTTGTGATTACAGTCGAACACTATCGTAAAGTTAGTTTGCGTTAATTTTTTCCATAGCTTATTTCAGTAATGGACATTTTCACAATTTTCTTACTGATAAAGAAAATTTATGATAAAAATTTAGTAAAAATCTAGTGCAAAAAAATATTTCCTTATTTTTGATAAAAGAATCTTCTTTTTAGTCTTGATAGTATTCAAGATATTCAGTTTTTATTTGCTCCTGTAAAATTGTTATTTTCCTATTACGATTTTGTTCGTCGGGGACTGCGACATGTATTAATCATCTTCAATTAGGACCACCACCCTAAAATGAGTAATCAGTCATTTCTTAATGACAATGATTTTATTTTTGTTACAGTAAATTCGCCAATCGCCTCCGCCACTTTGCAGCCGACTTCAACGGCCAGTTAGCGATGCGGGTATACCATCTCTATTGTAGTACAGGAATAGTGATTATAAAGAATTTAGCTGTTCGCGGTATATTAAAACTATCGAGGTGAAATTGTTAAATAGTTGAAAAAAATCATCATCAGTGGTTTTCTTTAACCATTTAACACAAAAGCATGTGATTACTATAACGACTTACAGAGAACATTATAGAAGAGTCTTCTCCGCGTTTTCTTTTTTGTTACATTTTATTAACTGATTCATACATTTTTTAAGCATTTCCACTTAAGGCTTAATCACATGGTTATATCACAGCATTATCCCTTCTACAATATTGCATACTGCGACAATCTCGTACTTTTTGAGAATACATTTATAGTTACTATAGACAGTAACTATAAATGTTATATGTTATCTGCGAACATTACAGAACATTCACACCAAATACATATTGTGGATAGAGTAGTCTACTCTTGAGAGGTAATAACATATATTTCAACAAAAATAATATTTTATGTGCATTTTGTCACTGAAATTTGAAACTGAACTGATATTTGTGACTTACTACAAATCTGTGTAACAACTTATATCGACTGTCACATTTTCATTATTTTAGAAGGTAGATCCTAACTTGAAATTGATTTTTGACATAGTACCAAGATTTTATTATATCTGTGAAGAGCTAAATTCTAAGTATTCCGTGTAGAATGGAGTTGAAAAAATGAAAGATTCCGTGTTTAGCGGGTTGATATAAATGCGTAAGCATTTAAAACAGTGATTAGATTAGTATAGCTATTCGTTTATAGTATTTTATTCTAATTCTGAAAATACTTTTTAATTAATAAAAAGTAAAAAAAAAACATAAAAAATTAATTGGTAAGGTATAAGTCGGTGAGAATTGGCGATGTATGTTCTAATTGTTTTGTTGTTTTCAATTGTATATTAATAGTAGTTTTATCAGGAAAGGAATAACCATGGCACTAATGGCTTTTCCCCGTTTTTCATAATATTATATTTAATTTTAACAATTATTCCTGTAATCAATTAAAGGCAGTGAGTTAAAATATTCATATCTACTTAGTACTGCATCTTACCGATAGTATAAAAAAGAAAATAACAAAAAAAAACCGATATTTTTTCCTGGGTTTTATTTTGTATAGATATTGTAACATCATAACATTTGTTCCGTGTGCTTTACAAAATAGTACCCAGATTGATAAAAATATATTTTAATTCGCTTTTAATTGGATCATATATAAGAAATAGATTTAATTTCATTGTTTCAAGCACATTGTCACCGTGGCACGATCTCAATACTTATTTGTATATTTGTATTTAAGTATTTTGTTTGGAAAGAGTGCTGTATGACTGAATACCTTTTGTGTTGTGAGACAAAACGCACTTGTTGAAATATGTCAAGAAAAAATGAAGACTAACTTGAATTTCGATAAAATCTAATATAGTAGAGCAAAAGTATAAACCCCAACGAAGTTCTAAGTAAAAAGAGTACAAGTAAGTAATGGTCCGAAATTGTAAGCAATCATTGACAGAGGAATAAATAGCCTAAGGTTTTAAAACGCATGTAACTTTCATTTCTTCGCTCTTTTTACTGATTATATCGTTGTTTAAGATGTTATTCATTAGCGCAGATAAGATAGATGTTCATGTTTTTTATAATAGTTTATGTCGTAAAAACAAAAACGGTGTACCATAATTAGAAAGCTTTGCCAACCCGAGTGAGTGAAAGGTTCATTTAGTGGAAGCCTCATCCAAATAGCAAAAATAATGTATTGTTTTTTCTTCTTGTTGAAATGTTAATCTTACAGGTTCGGTAGCAAAGTAGTAATCTGTGGCCTATAATAATTTTGTGCCAGACAAAATATATATATCATAGTAGCACAGTAGATGGATTATTTTATATAGAAATAAAATATCAATAAAATAATGTATGTAAAGTCCTCCTATTCCACGAGGATAAATATTTCATTACTGTTGCGTGTTAAGAATGTCTTATGAAAGTCTGAATTTAGTTGTGACTTAATTTATTTTTCAGTTCAGGCTCGAATTACCTTGTTTATGAATCGGAGTATCTGAAAATCGTTCATAAAATATTTTCTTACATTTCCTTTTCTTTGTATTTTGGTATACTATGAGCAATATCAGTGAGTAAGATTATGAATATCTTATCATGAAGCGGTAATTAACATGTGTTGATGCATTTACAAAATAGATGGTAAAAAGTAAAGACACCTTGGTGTACAGGGGCTAGATATTTTCTGTAAATAATTGGAATGTTCATTGTTAGTGTGTAGCTGTATGAACTTGGATCTGTTAGGCAAGAGCTCCACCCACATACTTGTTATTATTATAAAAAGCAATCCAATGTTACGACTGATGTTTCAGTTTTATACGAGTACGAGACAAGTGCTCATCGTGGAGGTCTAACAAACGCAAGTCTTACGATGGGTGTGATCTGATTGAATGTGTTACAGAAATATAGTGACTGTTGCATTGTTTTGTGTGTTATTGACAGTGGTGAGTAAGGTTGGTGTAAGGAATGTTGGTGCGAATTTTTTCACATTCGTTGTCTCTAATTATTTTGTATTGTTTTCTATTTATGTTGTGATGTTGGTCTTCCAAGTGTTTCAAGTTTATTTCATTTTATTAGAGTAGTATTTACTTATTTAATTATGTTTAACGTACGATGTATAGTGATTTATCGGACGCGTTGTCGCCGGCGTTGCGGCACGTAACTGTATGCCATGTATGAGCAGTTATGTTGAGTCAGCGATGTATAAAGGTTTTATTAAATAATATTATCACACTTTTCTGTCAGTAAACGATCGATGTAGCGATCTACTTTTAAATCATACTGCTATGGTTTACAAAATAGCTCAAATCAGTAACGACATTAGATAAATCAATATTTATACATTATAATCTCATTGTAAATAATAGTTATATTGTATACTAGCACTAAGTATTCCTGGCTCTCAAAGTAATTAAGTTTTTATTTAGATAATACTAATTATATTATAGATAAAAGATAAATATATAATTTATACATGTGAAATTTCGGCCAATACAAATGTTATGTATATCAAAATTGTATTTTTTTAAATGATCTCTTCGGCGTTAATAGTATTTAGATAATTGCTTTAGGAGTCCGGAAGTGAAATGAATTTATTAAAAATATAAAACTTAAGAAATATTTTCGCACGGTTAAATGTTGTATCTCGTTAGGCGCTAGGCGAGGGCGGTGTCAATACTCGACGGTGTGCACTGTTCGGTAATATATCTACACATACCACAAAACAAGTAATTGTGTGCCTAAATGATCTATTTGCTGCCAATTTTAAACTTTCGAGTTTTGGTACGCGTCCATGAGTAGTCAATTCATCTTTGTTGTCATACATTTTAACTCGTAAATAATAGAACTGTTGTTACCACTTAGTAGTAATAAACACAATACATAATTTCATCCTTAGTTTGAATTAGTTATTCGTTTGAGGCAGTGTCTCTTGACATGTGTACTTAGTGACCCGACTGTACTTTATATTCTTAGTAATGAGACATGCAGGTAAATAATTCAAAGTAAGGGAAATTATTAGACCTTTTTATCAGTGAAAATATCACATTTTCAATATAAGTATATGACCTATATGATTGGTTCATGAATATTACATTAGCAGCACTAAAATTAAAATATTTAATAGAAATGTTATTGTCATGTTTCAAGTGAGTTTTATTCAGAGATAACTTTTGGTAATTTTTATTTCGAACATTTTGTTTTTGCGAAACGAGTTTTTGATCCGATTATTTTAACGAAATGAGTAGGTTCATAGTTTTACGTTTTCGCACGCACCTTTACATGTATGTTTTCATAAACTTTCATATTTTTTGTTAGTAACCAGTTTTAAACAATATGGTATTTTTAATCAAAATAGACTCAATTATCATAAGTGAAATAAATATTTGCATTTAACACGTATTAAATGTTTATGAAACTTATATGAAAGCATAGATGATTATATTTACACACATTGTTGCAATATCTAATAAATATAATAAAGAGTATAAGATTTCTTGATGGTTTATGATTGCGATGGTTTGTACTAAATGTTTCAATTTGTTTTAAACTGTCCATATGTTTAAGTTTGGCCCTTTTCGAAATGTTCGAGTTTGATGCTCTACTGGATTTTGAGTGAATGTCTTTTAGTGTGTTATTGTAATAACAAATATGAAAAAAATCTTAATAAGCTGCATATTTCTAGTGCCTTATTGACTTTCAAACCTTAGTGGTATATTTTTTCACTGTCATGTTGCAATACTCAATTCACAGTTCAAATCCCAGGTTTTGTCAGTCAATAAACTACATGCGATAGGCAGTTTTATTTATTAGACTGAATTAACTTTGTTGCATAACAAGTTAAATGTTATATTTTAAGAAATATTAGCAATTATTTCTAAAGGACATTTTAAATAAAGCATTTCATATTCGTTATTTATTTCTTCTACATAAGGTATTAGTGTAATTGTTTAGTCAAAATGGTAAATGTAAATATCTTGTTTAGAGGATTTATTTAGATTAAGTGTTCAATTTGATGTATATTAGATTGAATTAGAGAAAACGATCATAAGAGAAAGAATTGATATCTGAATCAGTAACCACTTTTACATAAGCAAGTTTTTTAACGTTTATGAATCCAACTAATGGACCAATAAGTGGCACTTTAAATTAGACATTTTAATCAACAACAAACCAACTGTGAGCAAGTATTAGAGAGAACTAACCCATAGTGTTGTGGACAGTTTGTTCAAGCATATTGGATCATTGTATGAACTTATGTTAAAACATAAAGAAACTCGAAAACATTCCTGTCTTTTATTTTACAAATAGTTTTATAAATACCCTGCCCAAAAATTCCATGGAAAAAGTACTATCAAGGTTGTCAGAGTACAATTTGGCATTACAAATAATCAAAAATAATAATTTGGAAGGTCAACCGAACCTTAGGATTTTACCCAGACCCGGTCAATGGCACTGTACAAGCTGGGGCTTATTGGTCGTCCCGCTGGAGGCTCCACATATTGACTTAGCTACCTTGAAAGAGCTCCAGCTGCTTATTGTCAAGTTGGCAGGGCGGCAGCACGGGGCCCTATCCATCCGCCTGACGCCGGGCAACGGCTGTTTCGAGAAGTACTTGCATTCAGTCTCTCGGAGGGAAATGAGTTCTGCCTGTAACCACAGGCTAACCATCGGCTGGGCGTTTACCCCGCTGGGGCGACGCAATATCGGGCCCTCGCTGCATTTGCAGAGGATCTTTAGCTACTTACTGCCATCATACACTCCCCATGGCCGGTAGGGCGGAAGCGACAAAAGTTTAGCCGCGGTGTCGGAGTGTAGTAACCGTAATCTTTATCGTGGATATATAAGTACGTTATACAGATGTTTTCAGTATTTAGTCCGGCTATGGGCCGCCGATTAGCCATACAATAGTATATGCATTAAATAATAAAGTTATTTCAATATGAATTACAATGTCATAAAATTTGTAAAAATGTAATAACAATGTAGATATACAACAATAAAAGTAGAGAACACTGAACACATCATGACTGGCTACACCCCAGTAATGGAGAAGAGACCTGTCGATCATGTAATCTTTAATTGTATGATAACATTTATTTTTCAACAAGTCGTGTAATTTCTATATGTGTATAGTTTCTTTAACCTTCTTGATATCTCTCTTAATATTGTTGTATATACGCGAAGCTGTACAGAATATACTTTCATGGAGTAGATGTGTCTTGCTAGCAACTGTTGCGCGATTTGTCCTCATGTCTTATGCGTTGAAGATAGTTGAATAGCACAGAATTAGTTTTTACGAATAATGCAACCTGTCTTAGTCTGAATTATTACCGAAAAATATTATGCCGTATCTTAAGGTTAAACTAACGTAACCATTTTCTTTGAATTCACTATTTTTCTGAGTCTGTTGAGATCACATGAAAACTGGCTTAGTCCATTACAAACAAAGTCAACATGTAATTTCCAATTCATTTTGTTGTCAATATGTAAACTTATAAATTTTGTTACTTCAGTTTCTTTTGTACCGCTATCATTATGCCGTATTTTTAGGGAAGCCGTGCGTTGTGTACGTACTAGACTAGACGACTAGAATTCTTCATTTTTGTTGTAGCGATGTTGATCATTAAATTATTCATTTTGAGCCGTCTACAATATTGCCTAAATTGTTTGTGAACTTCTAAATTAGTACATTTATTATTAGTAAATAGCACTGAGCTCTATCGTCAGCAAATAGTGTGATGCCATGCTTAGTTATTTTAGGGCATGTCATTTACATACTATTAATTTTGGGTGGAAAGTCGGATGGGATCTGGGTGGGATCTTGGTGGGAATCGCTGACGTAGTAAGATCGGCATTATCTATAAAATACCAAGAAATCATCTGCTGTGTTAAGTAGTGGAACAACAGTCTATCAGAACCCTGACTGTTAAATTATATAAATATTAACTAAGCAACAGTATAAACATCAACCACTTATCAATCATTTTTGACCTCCCTATCTCTCTTTGATCAAACCACACTTTTGTAGGACAAATATTTTTTTCAATGTTAATAATTTTCTTAATAGTTAATAAAAAAACCACAGTTTTACACACACACAGTTAACACACAGTTAAAACACAAATACATTTTTGGAAATCATGTTATGTTAGCTACTACCACAAATGAGAATTTTGTAAGAGTAATGTTGGGTATAATGGTAAGTAATCAATTGTAAAAATGGACGATGGATCCTGGACTATATGAAAAAGACCACTTTCACAAAATTATCTAATAATAATATTATATTACATAACAAATCTAACAAACCAATAAAATTTTCTACATCCTATGTGACTTGGTCTAAAACTTTAATTAGTAAATTGGGTTTCTCTTCTTCTAATATTGACAAGGCAGCTTGTACAGACAAATTTTCTCCAGGGTCGGTGATAACTAATAATTTCAAAGCCGTCATTCGACGCAGAGCAAATATGCTACCTACACATAAGTTACATCCACTTATGTCTAAATATTCTAAACTATCACCATTTTGACCAGCAATCCTGTCGAGACACCATACATCTACATGTTTACTGTTCTTAATACAAAGCCATTTGAGAAAGTTCAGGTTTGATAAATTTTGTAATCCTTCAAATCTAATACCATTATGGTGGAAATTGGTACAATCTACTGCTTCAACATGCCAACCATCTTCATATTGATTTGGTAGCTTTAGTGTGGTTGCATCTCCATATATCCAGTTATTAGAGCCCCTCAACCTGAAATTCACTATGCTGTTACTCAAAGCCTAAAAAATACCTTATTTAAATAATAATCAAATTAATAGAGATACCTACCTCACTGCAGCTTGACGATAAGTAAAGAAATGTATAGCAGCTAGATTAGATCCCAGTGTCGCGACTCTATCAGTCAAGTACTTCTGATTCTCTATTTCTTGTAGTTTTTTTAAGTTAGACCACCAACTTTTAGCTGTTTTTAGTTTCAGATTTGGTAATGTTGATAAAGCGTACAAAATATCTGGGTTCGGATTCTTCTCTACAAACACAGATAGTTTGCTTCTAAATTCTCCCTCTCGGTTTATCCAAGGCTTCCTCCAATCTTCGTAAACTTTTCCATGTACCTTTCTTGGTTTTTCTCCTTCTTCATCACGTTGATATATGGTTTTTTCACAATAATTTCGAGCTATAGCGTAAAGGGGACTAAGGGGAGGATAATTCTTGCAAATTTTTAGAGTCAGTGACATATTTGATAACTAAAATTTAAACAGGTATCCATACATGAATTCTATAGCTGATAAAATGATAAACTATATAATATAATTTATGATAGTAATTGTTTGCAATATTTTTTGTGTCTGCCTCTAAGGTTATATTTATGTCGAAATTGACAGTAAAAACCCTAGATGTCAAAATTAAACTTTCAGTTCGGAAACTATGTCATGGAAAAGTCAAGTTATTCATTCAAAGTCTCAAACTCTCAGTAACAATAAACCTTTTCGAGGTGAAGTAACATCTATAAATATTACAAAACAAAACCCCTGCCGCGTCTATTTTTCTGTTTGTTTGCTATGAACTCAAAAATGACTAAACGGATTCTAATGTCGTTTTCACTGCCTTAGAATGGGTTCATTATGAAGGCGTAGGTGCAATTGTTAAGGTTTAATAAAAAGGAAAAAATAGCTAATACAGTATGGTATAGTAGTATTATAGCGTGGTATAGTAGGCGAAAACCTCCTTTCTAAGGAGAGGCCTATTATGTGATGTAATGTGTGATTTGAATAGCTAATATTATTATACTTTAAAATGCGTAGAGAGTTAAGAGAGGTATTTTCAAATAATAAAAAATAATATAAAATTTAGTTATATGTAGAGATGCCAATTCTGACATTTGATTGAAATCAAATGTACCAAAAAATTTCAAATTATTGGATGACCATTGAATTTAAATAAACAATAATAATTAATCGCTTGCCGCATTTTTATAAAGTTGTTAAAAAGTTAAATTGTCGTTATGGCGTCCCAAGTGATAGTGGCACGTGTCCACATTTCAATTTTTCAAGCCAACTGTTTATTTTGTGTGACGTGACGGTGACGGATTAAGAATACAGAGTGTCACCACCCCTATTCATCCCGTGGGTGTCGTAAGAGGCGACTAAGGAAGCAAACTACGCAGGACAACAGCACCGCAGAGAGAAGGAAAACTTGAAACAAACCCTATACCAACCCGTCTGGCCAGCGTGGTTTAGTAGGCCAAAACCTCCTTTCTAAGGAGAGGCTTATGTCCAGCAGTGGACTATTAAAGGCTGTTGATGATGATGATGATGATGTGAAAAAATTAGTGTTTTAAAAGTTTGACACCACGTAACTGAATCTCAATCGAAAAACAATACCCGAGAAAATAATCTCATTCCAAATTTACGTGTAGCGGAGATGGACTTAATGTAATGATTTTATTTTACTGCTTTAAGCCAACAAAATGATGAATTATTCATGGCATGCACGTCATAGAAACTACAAGTATGAGTTCGCGCCCTTTGCATTTGTTCCTTACTGTACGCAAATATAAGGTTGTCCATTTAACGAATATGTAATTATACTTTAAAAATAACTACAAACATACAAAAAATACAAACTTCATTGGTTTTAAACCTCCGAGGCTCCTGGTGGATTGAACGAGAGTGAGCAACGCTGCGAATAGTAGGTACCTAAAGTAGGCACCTACTATTCCCAGCGTTGCTATTCAATCGTATATAAATAGTTATACGAGTATCTTAGACTAACATGGAGTGCTATAAAACAAATATCCATGCAAATCAAGGGAGTGACAGCGACAACATAGCTGATAAATACAACGGTACTGGAAAGGAACTTAGTGACCAATAGAAATTTTCGTCATGAAGAATAATATACCATTCTTCAAGACAAAAAGTTTGCAGTTGTTATTACTGTGATAAAAAAACTTGGCGCGTTTTTATACTTTCTCACGTAGGGAAATTAGAAAATGGAAATAAGTTTATTAATAGGAGAAGCCTTTAAAATAGATTTTTTGGTCATATTTCATCAAGTTCCTTTTTATTTCTCTTTGCGGGCAAATTTAATTATCCGGTCGTCACGTCTTGAACATAAAAGCTTAATGTTTTTATTTTTTTTGAGGAATGAGGAGTATAGTGCGCTTCAAAATAACCTTTTAAAGAATAAATATTTATTTGTTGTTCATTTAGAGATTTAATGATTTTTTGTCAATCCAAGAAAAGAGCGGTGATAAACATCTGATTCACTGTTAGCCAGCACTGTAGATGTTTGCCTTACGAAAAGGATTAGAATGAGCGAGTTTAAAAAAAATAAAGAGAAGATATCAGCTCATACACAAGCATTTTATAGATATTTCCTTATACTACAGTACATTTTTTATTAATTGGGCTATAGAAATTTTCTGACTATACTTCAAGTAAGAATTTTTTGGTCACGGTCCTGGTTTTGCATATTGCACTGCTGTGATAAAGCAATATTTTCGCATTTTGGGTTAGCATACTTTATCCCGTGGGTGTCGTAAGAGCCGACTGAGAGAGCAAACTACGCAGGACAACAGCACTGCAAAGAGAAGGAAAAATACCAACCCGTCTGGCCAGCGTGGTATAGTAGGCCAAAACCCTAAGGAGAGGCCTATGTCCAGCAGTGGACTATTAAAGGCCGTTGATGATGTTGATGATACTTAACAGTTCCCATGAACTAATCAAATAAAAGTGCTTCATTTTATAAGCCTTTTTAGATTAGAATACAACTGCTTGTGATTTAAAGCAAGTCAGCAAAAGTTTTACTTGTTAAAAATACCTTGATTCACTATACTTAGATGGCGGAAAAATGTACATACTCATGTTGCTTACTCACAGGAGTGTGGACACTTAGACCCCATTAGTTGCTCAAAGAAAGTGGTACGAACGTGACAGAGGTGCGTGTTAACATACCGCGATGTGTAGATTTAATAATTTAGCTAAATATACTACGTTTTATGCAAGAGTACATTTTATAGCCAATTTTACAAAACAGAAACCGAAATGCCCGTATGCTTTACCTTCTTCGTAAATGAAATAACTATTATGTTCACAGTACAAAAACGTATGACTTTTAATAGCTTTAACTCCAGGTTTTAATTTCGACCAGAATACTGTGTAGTATTCTCTCCCTATTATTAGAAGTAAGTGCTGTTCAACAATTTGTTACCTTCTTATCTCAAAGAACGATGCGAGTTGCTTAGCTGCACACATGCAGGATCATTGTGCCACTGGAAATATCTTAAGACTCCAGGGCATTTATTAATGTACAATTTACTGAAGTATAGTTAGCTTAAACCAAAATAGTTAATCATTTTGATATTCTTAGTAGTGGAAAAATTATGTTAAACAAGCAGTAAAAGAAAAATTGTGTCAAGAAATGATTTAGGAGAATAATGCTATACAATTAAGTTTGAGACAGATTAAAAGTAGGTCCTTACAATTTGTAGATCTTGTCGACTGTACTCATTAAAAAATATATAGCGATAAATTCTCATTTTATTATCTTTACAATAATACCTTGTTGAGTTGAAATAACTGCTGCCTTCGTTTTTGTTTTTTGTTAGAAAATTCTAAAATAAATAAGAAGTTCAAACTTACTGACTTGAACATTTTGTAGCAGTCATAGAGCATAGCAAAAAAACACATGTTCAAACGTGAGGAAGGCCTTCACCTTAATAATTTAACAAATTGCCTTTTTTATTTATAAATATTGATCTCAGTTTTTAAAACCGTTAAACGTTTTTTTATTTAAATGAAATTATTTTTGAACTAAAATTTTAGTGCTTTTTATTTTTTAAGTTAAAAGTAATCTTATATAAAATTTACTAAAAGTTTCTATCAAATATATTTCATTGTAAATTTATATTTTCCCTTTTTGAACCAAATAATTTCGTTAAAAAAACATGTATATATATTGTATGTAGAATGGGATAGCGTTAATCTCAGCGCACAGCTAATAACACTTAGCAGATTAGATTTTAATCGATTCCAGAATATGTGTAGCGGAGTTGGTTCGGTGCAGCTGCTAAGCCTGTGTGACAGCGTCAGTAACGGCGGGGGACATTCCCTCGTTAATCTTGATTTAAGCTGAGCTTTCACTAGTTTCCAACACAAATGTTAAGTTACAGTAGTAACTTAACATTTTTGTTGATAAGCTTGATAGTGACGATTGTAATTTATAACCAATGTGGAGTAAACACTGTTTGTCATATTATGGGATAAAAAAACAAACTCAGTAAAATAGCTTCCTATTATATATTCAAAAACTTTTAATAACTCAGGACCATAGAGATATAACCCAAAGAGAACAAGAGTTCCAATCTTGCAATACAGGCAACGAGAGAGATGGATAGTAGATAGTCCCCTCTATCTCTTTCTAGACGAGCTCTGTGGTTGGCTGGGGAATATGAGGGGTTAATTAGTAACCAATTGCAGCTTAGCTAAACAGAGACAGAGGGAAATATTGGGCATCCATCTCTTTTGTTGCCTGTAACGCTTCCACTTATAGGCAGCTGTACCCGTGTTCTCTCTATGCTTATATTTCTATGCTCAGGACCGTAAAAAGACATCTATTATAGAAATATCGCTCACTCGGTCACTCTGGGTGTTGACTGACCCACGTCCCTCACACACAATCTCAAAATTATGTACAATTTTTGTTTTGAAATTGTTAAAAAAGAAAAATTAAGTAAACGGTATAAAAGAATACAGGCTTCTCAATTATAGAAAGCAATTATAGTAATTCACTGTAAAGGGCACTATCAAGCTAAGTGAAAAGCCACATCTTCCTTTTTTGTTTAAAAAGGTAACTATCGTTCTAGGAATAATTCTTGTGTCGCCATGGACTTTACAAACAGTCAAAGTATATACAGCACACCTAGACTCGGACACCTAGACAGCTATTTGTGAGTCATACATATTTTTGTACCGTATGAGAATCGAACCCATACTCGTAGTGAGGTAGTTCGAAGGCGACCACGTAAACCATTGTGTTATCGGTGTGATCATGAACATACATTGAAAATTCTTGTATTTGCACTATTAATTAAACCCCGATAACGTTATGCGGCGGCACCTATGCAGAGTGAAATCTTTTAAATAATAAACTTAAAAAAAAGTGTCAATGACTTCAACCTTTGTCTACTTGAACTTTAATAAACTATAATCTTAATACCCAAATTTTTCCGTTG